GAGGGTCTCGATACCACAAAGGCGTCCGTTCGTGAATTGATGGAGATCATGAACCAAAGGTTCGATGAGATGGCACGCAACATGTTGGCGCGCCAATCACCACCCCGACGGTGATAATTACCACAAACGACGGTGCGAGGATCGGGATCTCGAACGACGCCACGACCGTGAGCGACACGAAGAGGAATGGCAACATGATGAGCGCGAGCGAGACGTGGACCGCGAACGGGAGCATGATGAGTACCACAAACGACGGTGCGAGGATCGGGATCTCGAACGACGCCACGACCGTGAGCGACACGAAGAGGAATGGCAACATGATGAGCGCGAGCGAGACGTGGACCGCGAGCGACGGCGCGAGGAGTACGAGCGGGAAGACGACTTCGATCGACAGTCCCAGGCGTCTAACCACCACGACCGACCGAAGCCAGAAAAGCCAAAGCTCGTGTTATCCACCTTCACCGGCGCAGATCCCGATGCATGGCTCAACTGGGCTACCCAATATTTCGAGCTGAATGAGATCGAAAGTAGCGATCGGGTAAAGTACGCTGCTTACTATCTTGATGGAGAAGCCAACGTGTGGTGGCAGTGGCTTACAAGCGTCTACCGTGGCCGACGACAAGTCATCAGGTGGAACGATTTCAAGCGCGAGTTACTCACGCGCTTCGGCTCATCCAACTACCACAATTACCACGAGGCGTTATCCCGCATATGACAGACCGGCAGCTTGCGCGACTATCTTAAGGAGTTCGAGCGATTGGCATGTCACGTACGAGGCTGGCCCGAGACTGCATTGGTTGGGACCTTTATTGGTGGGCTGAAGTATGATTTAGCCGCGGAGGTTCGCTTAGAACGACCAGAATCAATGCATGCGGCTATGGAAGTGGCCCGACGCCGAGAAGATCATCTCGTGGCAACTCGAAGGGGACGGGCAGATGCACGCTACCCCGAGACACGACGCGCACAACCGGATGCAAGCGATATGGTTCCGAGCGGCCGACCACCTGACAACTCTCGACTGACTAATAGCGCGCGACCACCGAGATCGGAAGTTAAGCACTTGACGCTTGATGAGATAAAGCGCCGACGGGAGAAAGGGCTATGTTTTAAATGCGAAGAAAGATTTACGCCTGGTCATCAATGCAAGCAGGCTTTTGTCATCCACGTTATAGACCCGAATGAGGAAGAGCCCGAGATCGAGAATGATTGGGAGCAAGAAGTCGAGATTGGGGTTCCCGAAGAGGAGGCCGAAATCTCGATGCATGCGATGGCTGGTACAGGAGGACTGACGACTATGCGGCTGCCAGCATTGGTCAAGGACCACCGTATAGTCGTGCTAGTAGACAACGGATCATCGCACAACTTCATCAACGCCGATCTATCTCGAAAGTTGAAGTTGCCAACGATGAAGGTCGAACCATTTGAGGTCCGAGTAGCCAATGGAGAACAGCTAAAGTGCTCGGAGGCATAGCATGCGATACCAATTAAATTCCAAGGAGTCACCATCAAAGCCGATCTCTATACGCTACCCTTGGTAGGACCCGATGTTGTGTTGGGAGTACAATGGCTCGAAGGTTTAGGAAAGGTGACCACCGACTACCGGATGGGAGTCATGGAGTTCAACTCAGGGGAGCACCGAGTCACGTTAAAGGCAAGCAAGGACTGTGGGATCAAGGAGGTTGGTCTCACGAGTATAGAACAGGTTCGGCATGTGGGCGGTCAGATTTTCACCGTCGAGGTAGTAGGCGCATACGCGAGCAAGGTCGAGCATGTCTTGACGGAATATGATGGTCCACCTATCTTCGACGTGTACCCCGAGGATGAACTCATGGACGACGAAGTAGTCGAGGAAGCTGAGATCAAGGAAACTAGGGTCGAAGGCGAGGTGCCCGAGATTTGGACGATTGAGCAGCAGCAATTCAAGATACGCGACTTGGTTAGAGCAACCGACCGCGTCCTAAGTAAGTCCGACAAAGAAGAAGGCAGGATCGACGAAAAGTGTAAGGAGCCTATTCTTCCGTTTGAATTCTCGAAATATTTTATGGACTTAAGGCCCATCGAGTACGTGAATGAGTCAAAGGATTATGAAGGACCGCCTATCTTCGATGTATATCCCGATGAGTACTTTGTCGAGGATAAAGGCATTTGGGCCGAGTCCAAAGAAGATGTTGTGGTCGAGGTGATGACGCCCCAGTTGATGGTCGATGATAAGTCCTTGAGGACAAGGACATTCTTAAAGGGGGCGGGAATGATGCGGAAGTGGGTTTTGACCCCCGATGATGAGAGAGGCCGAGGGTCGAGGCTAATGGACAAGGCCAAGCAAAGAGCGCAAACGAGGCTTGCATGGCCTAGGAGACGTGCACGAGCACGTATACGAGGGTGCCGACATGCACAATGGCATAGGAGGTCGAGCAAGAAGCTCGAGAGTTTGAGGCTTGAAGGCTTGAGCGGCGTGGTCGAATGGCGCAGGGTGTGTGCGAGGAAGCGACGCACACGATGTGTGGAGGCTATGGTCTCGGACGTTTACTTTGCGAGGGAGACGATCGGTGCGCGAGGGGTGGATGTTGGGTGGACAGCGCGCACGTGGGACGACCGCCAGGAAGGGCGCAAACACGC